TCATCGTCGTCATCATCATCATCATCATCAGCAGCATCATCATCATCATCAGCAGCATCAGCATCAGCATCATCATCAGCATCAGCATCAGCATCATCATCAGAATCAACAGCTGCAGCAGCAACTTCATCTTCACATTCATCATCGTCAGCAGCAGCATCATCAGCATCATCATCACCATCATAATCCTCATCACCATCATCATCCTCTCCCTCCTCATCCTCCTCTTCCTCCTACTTCGCCTCCTCCTCCTCCTCGTCCTCCTCCTCCTCCTGCTGCTGCTCCTCCTTCTCCTCCTCCTCTTCCTCCTCCACCTTCTCCACCTCCTCATCCTCCTTATCACTCCTCCTCCTCGTCGTCATCATCAGCAGCATCATCATCAGCAGCATCATCATCCTCATCATCTTCCTCATCCTCCTGGTCCCCTCCATCTCTTGTTCCTTATAAACAACTCCTCCCTGTCGCACCCAAACGTGTGTGTAGGGCGGTCAGGGCGTTTCGCATGTGACGTCCTCCCGACGTGCCATCCTGCAGCTTGACATGAGCAACAGCTTCAAGGATGGAGGGCGGCTAGTTTCCAAAATGCTGCTCTCGCCTTGAGCGCCGCGCACACTCGCCTGAAAAGTAGTGTGCAACAGCTTCAAGGATGGATGCCGGCCCATTTTCAAAATGTGGCTCCAGACTTGAGCGCCGCGCGCATTCGTCATAAAACTCTGCAGCAGCTTCAAGGATGGAGGGCCGTTCCATTTCAAAATGCGGCTCTCACCTTAGTGCCGCACACATTCGCCCTTAAAGGTCTCGTATGGCTGAAGTCCCAAGAATGGTGTTCTGGCACGACTCCGGATTGCCAGGACGCAACAGTCATGTTGACGCGCGGAGATGACGCTTCAGGAATAGTATTCTGACACGATGTCGGATTGTCAGACGCAGCAGTGACGCTGATTCGCGGCGTTGCAGTCCCACGAAGGGTTCATGGAACGCTTGATGAGTATCCGACGGTTGTCTTCAAACATAGAACGTCCCGCAATCAAAATAAATTCTAGAAGGGACCTATGAAGAAGGGGGAAACTTGCAAGAAGGGTTTTGTGCAACATCGTTGCTGCGTCTTGGGTTTACATTGGTCCTCGTCCTCCTCGTCCTCCGTCCCCTGCTCCTCCTCCTCCCTCCCCCCGCTCCTACTTCTCTCCTCCGCCTCCTACTCCTCCTCGTCCTCCTCGCCCTTCTCGTCATCCTCATCCTCCTCCTCCTCCTCATCCGCCTCCTCCTCCTCTTCCTCCTCCTTCTGCTCCTCCTTCCTTTCTCCACCTTCTCCCTCCTCTTCTCCCTGCCTCCGTCTCTTCACAGATCGAGAGCCGCAGACCGCATATTTGCCCCGTGTGGGCTGCGGCGCGTGCAACCATCGGTGGCATCCGGAGAGGATCCACGGGTTAGGAGGCGGACCTGCCGCTGGCCAGGCGGAAGGACGGGACGCCAGCGATGGGGGAGCAAGATCCAAGAGGTCCTTAGGGGCGGACCTGCCGCTGGCCAGGCGGAAGGACGGGACGCCAGCGACGGGTAGCAAGATCCAAGGTCCGTAGGGGAACGAAGAATGACATTAACGTAAAAATTCGGAGGTCCGCGCGGATTCCTCGGATCCGCGCTGGGGCCCCCTGGCGGCGCCTCCGGCGCCGCCACTGGCGCGCTCCGCGCGCCAGGAAGGGGTCGATCCGAGAAATCCACGCGGACCTCCGAGTTTTTATGTTTATGTCATTATTCGTTCCCCTATCCTTGTGAGAGGATTGTACCTCTGGTTCCTCCACCGACCTGCTGACGACCAGAGGGGGGGGGGCATCTACAAGGAGGAGAAGAGAGGATCGTTCGGCCCGTTGTGGAGGGCCATGGCTTTGATCTCCTCGTCCTGGCCCTCACAGTCTGCTTCACACGATGGGCATACCCATGCCCTATGGAAGATCGTGTCTGGCTGGCCACATCGAGGACATAATATATTCGTCCGGTATCCCCATCTGTTCAAGGAGACATGTGGGGCACGTATACAAGCGCAAACCTGCATGATGAGAGATCTAACCCCTTTTGGAAACTTCTTACTGCCTAGCAACATGCGCGGCCCCATGGTCCACAGGGCTCGTTCTAGGATCTCCTTGGCTCTGCTATGCTGTGTTTCATGCAAGACTCTCCGAATGGCAGGTTCTGACAAATACGGTTGCTGCAAACATTGGATGACATCACGGGCAATGGCATGAGGAGGGGAGGAGGTGAGGTGGTGGTGGGTGCCGTCAGCGCTCACGAGAATGGACGGGTTGATGATCTCCCATCCGGCCTCCTTCATCCAGAGATGCATGTCCGCCAGGGGCCCACAAGACTTCCTAAGCCACGTGGCAGCTTCAGGGTTGGCTTGAGAATGTGCCTCCTATCCCTCCTCCTCCTCCTCCTCCTCCTCCTCCTCCTCCTCCTCCTCCTCCTCCTCCCCCCTCCCCCCTCCTGCTCCTACTCTTCCTCTTCCTCCGCCTATTCATCCTCAACCTCATCCTCACCTAGTTTTCATCTTCCTCTTCCTGCTCCCCCTGCCCGTCCTCCTCCTCCTCCTCCTCCTCCTCCTCCTCCTCCTCCTCCTCCTCCTCCTCCTCCTCCTCCTCCGCATCCTCCTCCTCCTCCTCCTCCGCATCCTCCTCCCTCACCCGCTCCCTCCCTCCCTCTTCCTCCCTCCCTCTCTCACACCTTCTGTCCCAACCCCGTGGCCCTGAACCCCCCCGAGCAGGACCTGGGCCGAGAACCGGTGGATATACATGGCCGCGTCCATTTTGTATCGTTGCCACCGTGCGGCAGTCGCACACCCGTGTTAGCGGGCATGTTGCGTGACCCCTCTCGGGAGCCTTCGGGAGGAAACCCTCGGGAGCCAAACGGGGCTGGTGTGACCCCCCGTGTCGGCCGCATTGACCCAACGGGGCTGCGTGACCCCACGTTGGCCGCGACCGCCGCTCCAGCACAGAGCCCTTGTGCCACAAACGAAACGGATGGCGCCACACATCTTCCTGGCAAGAACCAGAGAGCGCATCCAGTGTCTGGGCCGCCAGGCCAGGGTTCGGTCGGGCGTGTACCCCTGCAGGTGGCTTTTGGACGAAAAATGAAAAATGGTCCAAAATACCCCTGAAATTCTCAAATAGTCAAAGAATCGTCCCCAGACTATTTTTTTACTATTTTTGAACATCCCCCCTGTAGAGGGACAGGCCCGACTTGAGGCCAGGGCCGACGCGGAGAGACAGCTGGCGCGTCCCGGCTCCCGGCGGGGCGCACCAAGGGGGATGGGGCGGGGGAGGAGGGGCCGTTGTTCCTAGTGGGGGAGGACGCCGGAGGAGGAGGAAGGACGAAGAGAAGGCGGAGGGCCCACGTTAGCGACGCAGCCCTACGTGGCCGGCATCCCGAGGGCCCAGGGTCGGCAGCCCCAGGGACCCACGCGAGCGACACAGCCCAGGAGGAGCCGCCCGCGCCCGTTTGCCGCGGCGGCGGCGCAGGGCCGCTGCGCGGTGATTTTCAGGGGGAGGGGAGCGGAACGAACGACTCACCTGTGGGGCGGACATGCGAGCAGTTGCAAATGCTGCGCGGCCACGACCACACCACCACGCCCAGTAGGAGATGGAGGGAGGAGCGAATGAATGAATGAGGAGGAGGAGGAGGAGGAGGAGGAGGAGAAGGAGAAGGAGGAGCCGGAGGAGAGGCGAGAGAATAGCCCACGACGAGCTGCGGCAATCTAGACGGTCGCAGCCGGGGACCGCCCAATGTTAGGAAGAAGAAAGGAAAGAAGAAGGGAAGGACGGAGGGAGGGAAACGTAAAGCCTAAGGCTCGTGCATGCGTAAACCGCGAGGGGAGAAGCTTCCTGAGCAGGCAGGGGGCGTCTTATAAGGGTGGGGATGATTCCATGAAAGCTTCTCAGGGGTCAGGAGGGTTTCGAAGAAGCCCCTCACCTTGTGCAGAAGGCAGCCACTCCCATCCTCGCCCCCGCCCTGTTTTTTGCGGGCCGCCGATCGCTGGCACTCCCAACCAAAAAAGCACAGCGAAAAATCTAGAAGCGAGCCCCAGATCCAATATTTGAGCCACATCGGTATTGGAGGACCCTGGGCGGGGGCCACAAATCGGGCGAAAAACGCCCAGGGCGAAACGATTGCGACGCCCGCAAGTCTCGCAGTGCCTCCAGCGTGTTCGCCCGGGCGCAGGAGTGCTGCACGAACTCGCCCGCGACGCAGTCCAGGGCGAAAGGAGTGTTCCTCATGGCCAGGCCGACGACGACCACCACCACCAGCACCACCACGACCACGACCACGACCAAGACCACGATCACGACGACGACAACGGCGACGCCGACGACGCCGACGACGCCGACGACGGCGACGACGACGTCGGCGACGGGGGCGGCGGCGGCGACGACGACGACGACGACGGCGTCGGCGACGACGGCGGCGGCGGCGAGGACGAGGATGGCGAGGACGACGACGACGAGGACAAGGACGACGAAGACAACGAGGGCGAAGATGACGAGGGTGACGAAGACGGCGTGGACAAGGGCGAGGAGAACCCTGGCGGCGGACCGCTACGAGGGGTCACGACGGGGAGGATCCAGGAGGCCGCAGGGCAAGCAGCGTCCCGAGAGGTGGCAGCCAGGATGCCCCAGCAAGAGTGCTGATACTGCTGCCCACATTCAGGATCCACCAAAGAGGGGGTGACCCTGAGGGAGGGCATGAGTTCGATCCGTTGGTGCACCGAACTGCCGCAAACATATGCCCCCGCATGCCCTGCTGGCGGCTGGGGGGCATCTGTTTTGGGCGGTTCGATGCAGTAACCGATCGAAATCACACACACACACACAACCACGCACACAAACACACACACACACACACACCCTGGGGCAAACCCCTCTTCGTGGGATCCCGACACACCCCCGCGTCCGATCTTAGAAGGCAACTTCTGGAAGGTTTTCGCGAGAACGATTCCAAGGCGACTATGCCCGAGTAGGGGCCATTATGCCAGACTAGCCCATACTAAACCCAGGAATAAGCTGAACGAAGCGGAACTAAGCGAATTTGAACGGGATTAGAGCGA